AATCCTATGAGTGCATTTACCACCGCACTTACCTATGGGATTTGTTCTAAGGCGTTTCATGAATCCGTCTGGTTTATCTCTATCACTTAATGCGCATGTGTTGAAACATTCATTTTTTTCGAGGATTGACAATCACAAAAGACCGATTCCATAGCAATTCTCCCAAATCATGATCAGCAATGCAGCAATCAAACTCATACAGGCACAGAGTGCTCGGAAGTTAGCTGCGAGGCAGAGTCCATGAAGTTGTTCAATGCTCACAGGCTCTGGCTTGGTCTTGAAATCGCCATGGGCAGCGTCCCGGGTTCTGGTACTGTTCACGGCCTCTGGGCTCCCTAATTCCGGCCCTAATGAATGAACGCTGTATACCTGGGTTGAAAAAGGGGATGACCTCCCAGAAAACAGCGCCGGTCACGGACTGATCATTATGTTCAGCATACACAATGCCTATGCATGCCAGAATGACTAGTGTTGGGTTTGTTTCCATTTTGCCATCGACAGTGGCCATTGCAACATCACATCGTAATAACATGGTGCGTGCACGTTTGAGCGCCGGTTACATATGTAGGATTCAAAGAGAGCCGTCGTGCAAACAAAGCTCAACCAAAGATGAAGTTTGCAATGAATTGCTCCTCAAGTCCGCTGTCAGCTAAGGAGCATTTCTTTGCATATGCCACTCTTTGTCGGAGCGCCAATGGTAGCGGGGAAAATGTTAGGGGTGAAAAATGGGAGGTCTGCATTGCCAACAAAGAGCAGACCCCACCCCATTCAGCCCTTTCGCCCTTTATTTGCTGGGCACGTTTGCCGTGTTACCAATGACGCAATCGTTCCCCTTGCATATACGGAATTTGCATTCCCCGGCCGTTTGTCCGTGTGTCCGTATGAACGCACAGGAATATTTTCTACATTTATTCGTTCCCGTTGCCATTCAAGTCTTTGTGGCGCTTCATGTGGCGCTTCTTGAAAACCCGTGAGTTGTTTTTGACAAGTTCATTGTAAAACTGAAGGGTTCTGTGCCTCACAACAAGCAGACATCATTCAGCTGATTATCCCTGGTATGGTCTAATTGTTGGCATCAGCAGTCAGCTGTCAATCAGGACGTCAAATAAGTCGACTCGTTCGCTTCTGCGTATTATGACTTCGCAGATCAAGGTAAACGTGATAAGTGTTTGCGGTTAAGGCGTCGCCGGAAATTGTCTCTAATACAAACAAATGCCTCCAAAACAGCTCGAGACTCGTTTTGAATCTGGGCTTATGCTTTAAATGCATGCATGAATGGAGAAGGTTTGTGGTTTGAAATTAACGTCACACGCATTGCATATGTTGCTTATCACGGAGCCTGGATCACTTGTCACAATGTTAATCGGAGGGTGATTTAGTGCTAGTTATCTTTCGATCGGAAGCATTGAGGTTGAAGGGATGCGATGCTGCTGATGACAAAGCTACAGACAGGCTGACCGGTCCACATATGATCGCATCCTTCATGCGTCTGCCACGCTGCACACATTCATTAGGCTGGCCGCAGCTCGCCGCCTCCGACCGATGAGTCATCCGGGCAACGTCATCAACGTGATGGCGGCCGTGATGACGCGGTGCCGCACCGGCACGGCCCGCCGCTCGGGACCCGGTGATGCCGTTCACAGACAGACTCAGCGGCGGCGGCCATTTGTAACAGGGCGATCCTGCGGCTTGGACGGACCGCACACTCCGAGAGGTCCGCTGGGGCCGTGTTCAGCTGCGTGTTTGGGGCGTCAGATGAGCGGACCACACACTGAGACCGGAGGACAGGACCGGTCCGACAGCAGTCATCGCTCACTAACCTGTCGGAAGCAAAACAGGCGGCTGGGTACGAATACACAGCCAGGGAGTGGTCTCTTGGGGAAACGGGAGCGTCATCTTTGTGAACGTCTCGCACAGAAGTGATTTTTCTGCATACACGCATGAAACAAATAAAATGACACATTTGCATCTAAAAAATGGTCACATATGTCCGGGAAAAGTCGGTGTTAACTGAACACAAAGGCATCTCTGTGGTTTCACCAGGCCCTGTGCAGTCCCAGCGCTGCATCAGTAGTGCCTTCTCTTGTTACGCTTTCCGTTTAACGTGGCGGCATTAAACGGTCACCGGCTCTTCATTGACCGCGGCGGGGAGCGGCTGCCGGTGATGGTATCTGTGAGCATCGGCCCGACCACAGCTCTGCACACCACCCATTGACGTCGCTGGTGACCCGGGGACGGCCGGTCGATGTCACCAGATCTCGATCCGCCGTCGGACCGGCCGTTAAAGCCATACGAGGCTCGAGCATCTGCGTACGGGTGCGTCTGCGCTCCATCCACCATCAGATCGCAGCATCACCAGGCCGACCGGCCGACCCGCTTTGCGGTCAGCCAGACGCGTGCGGGGCGCGTGTACGGCATGCAAGGCCGTGTCCCCACCGGCTGCGCGCCACTGATGCCGAATTACGGGCCGGGTTATTATTGATGCGCGCTGGAGCAGGTCACTTTGCTTTACTCGCGATGCCTGCCACTTTCGGCGGTTAGCGGGATGAATGATCCGGGTTAAGTCGCCCCTCTGGCCCCGTGTGGCACGTTAATGGCACCCAGACTGTGCACGCTTCAGCCTGAATGTAATCACCGCCAGCAATCTCTATAATGCGCATGAGCTCCCGCGGCCTATTCGCCAACCAGCATCGTGCAACGCCCCTCGGACTCCACCCTGCTGTTGGGATGACGTATTTACCGGCCGCACTGTCCCCGGCAGGCCAACAGTTCAGGCGTGCAGCCGTAAATAACACGGCTGAGAGCTGAGACCCAATGACCATAGCAGACCTGTGCGGCTGCAAGGACTGGATAAAACCACACTGCTTATTGGAAGCGGGTTGTATGGTCAGCAGGGCTGACATGTTTATTTGCGTACTGCCGTCGTAAAATGCTTCATACGCGACCGCAGTTGCGGAAACACTAAAACCTTAGATGCAATGAATAAACATGCGTAGTTTCTAAGACCAGACGCTGTGAGGCACGAATGGCAGCCACAAGCACGCACGGAGCTCAGATACCAAGGCGCCAGAGACCAGGCAGTGCGTGTCAAGACTTTAAGCAATACTGATCATCAATGCCTGTGATGATGTAGTCTGCCAACGAAGCAATGAACCAGGGACACACATTTAAAAACGCAATGCAACGTGGATAAGCTAAATGTGGATGGAAATGTTAGACATATATTTGATGGAATGTCAACAGATAAAACTGGATAAAGTAATCGAGTGGCACCTTATCATGTGAACATATTTTGAGTCACGCAATCTGCCGCCGGCGCTAAGGAATATCCTATTTGGTTGGTAAGGTAGATAGCTAATTCAGTGTCCATGATGCTCACTCTTTTTAGCATGCGTAGATGAGCACTTCTCCGTTGTTTCACTTCCGCCCCGTCGTTCCTTCAACCCCTAATATCTGCCTCTGTTCTTCACTGATCTCTCCACATTCCTTCTCTTGAGGACAGCGGTGCACCATCCCCCTAGTCCTGCTCTTCTTCAGTGCCCCATCCCCGGGTCGGTGAGCGACTCTGCCGCCTGGCAGGCCAATTAGTGGCGACTATCGGGCCGATCTGCGCCCCCGCCGCGGAGTGTGGGGTGGGCCGGGCCGGACTCCGCCCCGTCTTGCCACCCGATACCATCTCCGACGGCCCGCCGGGCGACAGACCCCGGCGCGAGGAACAACGGTCAGGACGGGTGATGCTCCTGGCGGCAGGACGGGAGGAGTGGGTGGTGGTGTACCGCTGAGGACCAGTGACGGGGTGTTTGGTACTCAGGGTGGCAGGACGGGAGGAGTGGGTGGCGGTGTACCGCTGAGGACCAGTGACGGGGTGTTTGGTACTCAGGGTGGCAGGACGGGAGGAGTGGGTGGCGGTGTACCGCTGAGGACCAGTGACGGGCTGTTTGGTACTCAGGGTGGCAGGACGGGAGGAGTGGGTGGTGGTGTACCGCTGAGGACCAGTGTCTGGGTTTTCAATGTCAGTTAGTGTGAACACATGTAAGGAAGCGTAAGGAAATCGCGTAATAATGAGCTGGTAAAAATGACTGTACACACCAATAACACATCAATGCTTACGCATCAATGCAATGCTTGTTCTGCAGCCCTCCCCCATTCATGCGTTGTGACGTACTCAAACATTCATGTAGACAGTAAATGTCTTCCTCATCCTTGCTCACATCACCATTCCTTTGGTTTCAAGGCAGTGTGGATAAATTGTCTTTTTGCTGGCAGGCATGGCCCGCTTTTTTCGTGGGTTGGCAGATGGCTGTATTCAGCCATAATTCTTGCCGTACTCAGCAAAAACAAGAAGACCGCACTCTTATTATGAACTTATTTCGGTTGAGGTACAACTTAACGCTCTAATTAAAACAGATGTGCGCATGACATGTATACAGCTTCATGCAGAATTCAGCTTATGCAATAAGCTACAGAGACCTTCATATGCACACAAATCGTACACCCAGCCTCAGCATTTGCTCATATATTCACAGATAAACGTACAAGCTTTGCTGAATAAATCAACATTTTTTGGAGCATATTTAATGGATAGATCTGCGTATATCCATACGAGTGTGACACATGAGTGCACATACAGACATGCTACACATATGTTGTTTTAGTAGTCGATGTTGCATATCAGACTAGATGTATTTAAGAATATATTTAGGCTTAGATACACACATTCGTGTAGTTCAGCAGAAAGTTTTTGTTTCAATGCGAGGTTTGTTAAACACAAATTAAAGGCTCACCTCATCAATTTTCTGCCTGCATGTTTGCTCTTTGGAGTAAAGTCCTTTCGATGTTTTTGGCCAGTGACAGATCAATGCGGTATTTCGTTTATATTTGTCTCACCTGACAGACGTTTTTATCACATACATTTCCAATTAAAAGTGGAAAAATTCAGTCGCGCAAACAACGAACGAACGACTTGACTTCCTAAACATGCCCTCAGATATAACTCTGGAGCTCGGGTCTTGTCACGTTGTCACGTCATTTTCTTTGATCAGCCTGAAACAAAAAGAACAAAAAATGAAGCAAATCTTAGGTGTTTTGTGTCGTTCAAAATTGTCGCATGAATGTGTCGCATGGATGTCGCAAAAAATTAGGCGAAAATTAATTGTTTTGTGTCGGTCCCTACTAAATGCGTAATTCTACAACCTGGCAGTGTCATGAAAGAAGAATCTAACATTTTATGCTTCTGAAAGCAGACTCCAAACTGCTTTAGGACATGAGCGATTATTATGTACGAAGCAAAAGGCAGATGAAGCTCACTTACCAACAATTGTCCTGCCTAATTTAGTCAAGCAGGTATTCTTGATATGGTGGCGGGATTTTTCAACACCCTTTGATGTGGGGAGCCAGCTTGCAAGGCAGCGATCCAGGAAATGTATCTGCAAAACACATTGCACTTAACAAAAGGTGCAGCAGTCAGAGGATTGATATTCTGTACACATCAGACAAACAGCTACATAGGTATAACCGAACTGATTACGACCGGTTGATAAGAGTTCAGTTCGGTTGATTTTAGATCTGCGTTCTGAAATCAAGTTGATACTTTTTGACATGCATTGGGCCTACACATGTGACTGTCAACAGTCATAAACAGTGATGTAATGTTTAGATGATGAACAGCAATGTAAAGCAGTTGCGAAGTGAGTTGTCTGTATTAACATTTGATGACAACTGGCCCGGGATGGGGACACACATCTGATCATCCCCGTCCCGAGAGGTAAGGAAGGCACCCATTTTAGACGACGCTCCCCATTTTAGACTACGCTCCCCAAGACGCTCCCCATTTTACCAATCGTGGAGCCGCAGTGAAGAAATAAGGACTATGGAAGCAAACACAAGTGTGGGAATGGGAACGAGATCGTAACCACGAGAAGTATGCCACGTTAGAAGGAGAACAAAAACATTGACAAAATGAACGGTTACAATGTACGAGAGCAGGAGAGAACGATAATGGGAAAGCAGGAAATAGTCATGCTGTCATAGTCATATTGATCTTTATCATACTGAGCATGGGGTACTCCTGACGTCACATCTGATACAGAGTGGTGCACTATCCCCCCGGCCCGTACCTGCGGGGTCGACGCAGGCTCTGAGGGTGCAAGCCCAGGCGCCTCCCAAGCAGGAGCAGTGGTTACAACCGTCGGTCTTCCTCTCACCGTCCAGACAAACACCGGGAATTACTGAGAAAAACCATCAGCAAATGTATGTGGGATAAAACCAACCAACCGCTCTATCTTACGTGAAGTGCAAAGCTGGTGTGTAAGCAATTTCTTGTATTTGCACTAGACTAAAAGACTAAACAAGGTGCACTAGACGGCCAGTGAAGGCCTTTACTGGCATAGGTTCTATGTTGTTGTTCGTGCCAATCTCACCACGCTGGCCCCCCCCGGACGGCGTCAGTCTGTTGCACGGCTTCAGTAAGCTTAATGGACAGCGTTACATTCATTACTGCGTCAGAATGGGAGCGGATGGCCTATCGAAGTCATTGGGTTATGATACAAGATCCTTAAAACTACCTGGAACAGCATCAGAAGCACATCATGTTCTGTTGTGTAATCACGGACGCTGAATTCCAACCTTCAACGGCAAGCTTAGCTTCACTTCAGCCAGAATAGGGCCGGACAAAGCGTGGCTCAGTTTTAGGCCCTTACACCAGATAAACGCACCTCGCTTTGAAGCGGTTTGACACACCACTACAGCCAGAGCCAGCACGATGAGCACACGAGCCCCCATAATGGGTCCGGTCGACGTAGCACTGACACGTTCCGACCGAGCTGGACGGCGTACTGGCCCGATCTGGCAGCTCGAAAGGTCACCAGGGGTCAGTGGACGTGCACACGGCGGGCCGCCGTCCGTCAGGCCGAGGTCACGGTCCTGTCCTGGCCGGCCGGTGTCCGTCACAGCGGCCGGTGTCAGCAGCTCACTGTCAGACAGTGGGCCCCGCCAACCCGGCCGTTCGTGTCGCGTCACCCGGTGGTGAAAGGTCGCGTGACGGTCCGACACCGGCAGCTATGTGTGCCAAGCGGGTCATGTGATCCCGGGTGACCGAATGGACAGGAGTCCAAGGGTGGAGTCTGGTGACCGTTTGTGGATGGGTCGCGTTAGTTACGGGATGGCGGAAGATCAATATGAGCTCCCGTCATCATTGTCTCTCCCTCCGCGGCTCTCATCATCTCCCATCTCCCTACGGCTTTCATCATCTTCCCCGCTCTGCACGGCGACGGTTTTCAGCACATAGTTTGTTGTTCAGCAGTTCAGTACACTAGATCTGGCGCCGTATAGGCTCTTTGTGACGCCAGCAGTTGGGTGGAGCGAAGCGCTCACCCCTCCGCGTAAATCTTCGTAAACATTCCATAATCAGATGTGCTGTAATGGCGTTTTCCCCGCCTAGAGCGTTGGGCTTCAAACACGTGATCCCTTATGTCTGGAGTGTGTTATGAATCGGTGAACGCCGCCACTTGTCTTATTAGCTGTGAAATATTGTGCTAGCCTTTAGAGTTACCCGATCTTCTTCAGCTAAGTTATTGACACGGTCAATCGGTTGACACCTAATTTGTAGACATAAAACATTGCAGCGGTTGTATTGTGAGCAATAAATACTTCACAAATTAACAAAAGACTACGTCATTGTTGTGTGACTGGACAGTCTGTTTGCGCAATGGCGTGTCTGGACATTTACAGTTATCACGTTTAATCATCGCGTGGCCTTCAACATCCGAATAATAGCTCTTTCCCTGAAGCCGCTCGGACAGCGCTGGGCTTGCCCTGTGACCGTGACCGCTCCCCGTCATAGTGGCGACGTCCCAACCAGCGTCTGGCTGAGGACGGGTACGCTGGCAGGAACATCAGTGGTCCTTACCCGCCTGGTCTTGGGGGAGGGGGAGGGGAAGGGGTGTGTTCAACCCATCCATCGGCCCTGACACGCCGCGGCCAGTGGGATGGAGAGGCACGGAGTAAGCTGTGTGGTCAGAAAACATTTCGCTCGCCACTGAAGGACAGACAACGCTCGCGGGAGGCGTACCTCCATGTGCAGGGGCGAGGTGGTGTGGCGTGGCTTGGTTTACTTGTAGAGATATCGCACGGAACGCCCATGCCATTTAACGGATGTGATCCGTTATGTATTTTTGAACCCCACGCTTACACCATGACGAGCTGCATGAGTTTGACACTATCTTCGTCATTGTCATATGGTGGAGGAAAACTTTATTCCTGGTCAGGACCTCTAGCATGGATCACGAAAGCTGCGTGAGTATGTCCCTGGTCAGCTCGCAACAACCTCTATGTTAATTGGCAGCAATGACGAAAGTAGCTATTTATGTTGAAGGCCATTGATTGCAGCTACTTTTCAATTCACGATTTTTTAATTCGAACAACTTTTTCGCTGGTTCCTGCGTAACAACGTAGGTAACTGCATATTGCAAATAGTGTGTAACTTGCAAAGAAATATACAAAGCTTTTTTGTCGCATTATTTCAGAGTAACGTTGCATTCATTTTTACACACTTTTCGTTGCTATCAACTACATGATGTTTGCTATCTGTCGTCGCAAAGTTTTCACCGGTGAATGCTGTTTCATTCGTTATTCACATCCTTTCCCTCATACTCCCTTATTGTCCCCTCTGCGTTGTGTGCCCCTGGCCCTGTCCCTTCCTCGCTGCTTGCCATCCTGTGCTTATCTGCCCTTCCGCTGTTCCCCCACTGTATCTTCAGGGTTCGCAAAGTATTTAGTTTCCAGCCTTTGCCCGCCTGTGGTCTACTGTTCCTGTGCTTTATCCTCCCTTGATGTATCATTCCTGGCAACAACTTTCGCCCTCTTCCCTCCCGTCATCCTTAGCTCCCGCCGTCTTCCCTCCGCCGTCGTCACTCCCGCCGTCTACCGCCCCGGCGTCTTCAGCCCCTCTCCCGCCCGTCCTCTCCCAGCCGTCGGCCCCGGAGGAGACGCGGGCGCACGGCTGGAGTGGCCTGCCGCTCAGTCGACGCCGGAGACTGGAGCGTGACGGTGGCGCCCTCCGCCGCTCTCGAGGGTCAGCTCTGCCGCCGCCTGCTCCAGGTCTCGGCTGTTCACGTGCTCCAGGCTACGGCAGCATCTGCCTTCAGCGACATAGGGGTGCCCGGCCTCTCGAGGTGCGGCCTATTTTGGAGTGCGATTTAAACGGCCGTCAATAGCAGCGTTGTTGCGCGAGGCCGTGGTGTTGAATGCGGACCGAAACAAGCGGTGAGCCAAGCACCTCCGGACCTCTCAAGCGTTGAGCCGGCAGTGCAGTGTTTACGCAGCCTTGCTCTGTGCTTTGGTGGCATAGATTCCGGCCGGAGCACATGTCCGAGTGACAAGAACACCTGATGGCCTTCGCAGGCCTGTGATCGACGCGTCAGACTGGACGGAGCCGCTGAGGCCATCGACATGGCTACGGCACGATGGCTAACGCTGGCCCTGGTTGTGACGTGTTTGACCTGTCCTGACTTGGCCCAGGCAGGCCGGAGGAGGAAATGTCGGGTGTTTCCTGACACAAGCCCCCGACCGGTGGTAATCACAGGCAAGATGTTGGCCTTCTACCCCATCCATGTGCCGGGAGTTCGCTTCCCGGTCAAACGTTTGGGCCTGGTGGAGGTCAAACGGGTCATCTCAGGTCAGGTCAGCCGACCCCAGCTGGTGGTGGAAGGGTTCTATAAGATCGGTGTATGCAACTCGCGGCTGAGACTGCGGGAAACACGAATTTTCTTCCTGAAGTCGCCCGATATCCGACCCCTTTCATTGAGGGAGGCAGCCGAGAACATCACGCACAACACGGACTTCCAGCTGATATCCACCGCACGCTGGACGTCCCGGAACGTCAGAATAGCTCGCACATACACAGGTCAGTCCAAATGTCGGTCCATAATGTGGCTGGTGAATAGACCGCCGTTGTCTGCTATACCGTGCTTCACGTATTCGTACCTAGCCAGGCTGTTTGTATCTTGCGTTCTCGAGGCCGAAATGCATCGCGGCATTCATCCGAACACGATTTCAAACTATCAAACAATTCCCAGATTATCCGCGAGATTCTCAAATGGGCAGACGATTAGGACAGAGCCGGGTCGGCCTAAGAACATTCTCCGTCGTGATTACGCTGGCGTGTGAAATCCATTAGAGCTCGTGCTGAAGTGACCGAGGCCCCCGGCGGGCGGTGACGCGGTGGCCAGTGACGGCCCGTCCGTCACGGGAGGGTGGAGTCACCTCAGAGGCGATCTGCAGGTGACAGCGGCGGATGATGCACGTCCGACGATGGCAGCCCTACGAGACTGGGCAACACGCTGGCCAGTTCGGTGAAGGAAAATCAGTGTTAAGCCAAGGTGTTTTGGTACTGGCAACATTACTCTCCGAGTTTTCATTCTACATCTCGTAGTGAATATTTTGTCATTCTACAAAACCTTGGCACGGAAATTGGATGGATTTGCAAAGGTAGCAAGCAACCATTGGTATGTGGTCGTTATGACAGACGTTTAAATGCAGTGGTCGTGATCACCAATGTTGTCGGCGCTTCGGTCACGACTTCAGTGCTCGTGCGAGCCGTCACCATTCGAACCGTCCCTTCTACTGTACATTCAGCGTCCTCGAAAGGCAGGTCAAGAAGCCACCTGAACGCCATGCCATCCGTGGCTCATTTGAGCATGATTTACCGTGCACTGCGGCACAGTCTGGACACACGCCGATGAGAGGGGGAGGTTCTACACAAGAGGTGTTTTCTGGTGTGGTTAAAGCTGATGTTTTGCATTCTGTTCCCGATCTGCAGTCGGCGACAGACGCCTGTCAGTCGAGCCGGCCAGCTCCATTTTCCCGTTCTGCGGCGTTTTTTTCAGGCATGGTGAAAAAGTAACGGGCCGTATCTTCACAGGTAATTACAGACGTGCCAACTTTGACTTGTTGATGCTGGCGACGAACCAAAGACCCAGCCCCCTGCGAAAATAAGCAAAGTAAACGCCATGCCATGTCGTTTCACCCTTGCACGATATAGCGCGCCTGTGACGCTCTAAGATGGGATTTTAAGTGAATAGGTTTAAGTTGCGTCCCGTTGTCATTGCGAAATCCTACACTTGCCCCTGTATGGCGGCAACACCCGACCCTTGCCCTCTCACCTGACCTGACAATGTGAGGCCGCGCCAAGAGGCCGTCAGTGAAGTCGGACTGATCAGCGTCACCGGCTCG